ATTGATCCCCTTCCTTTGTCATATCTCTCCCTCTATGTCAAATTCTCCCCCTATCACTTACATCTTTGTTTCTCTCCCCCTTTGTTGTCTTTTCACTATCTTTGTACACTATTTCTCCCCCTTTTGTCATCAATGACCACAAAGGTTCAAAATGTAGATAGATTGAAATTATCAATGTGAATCAATAGGGTGAGGACCATTTTCCAAATTTGGTTCAATCTAGAACATTTGCCAAAGTTATTTAACTCGATTTGATCCAAGGACAAGCTTCTTCACACCTCCAAATAAGGGTTATCTTATACCATATTGAGTTAAACACTTATAGCTTATTTTCTAGATCAAACATTAGGTTTACAAGCCCACAAACATGTCATATGCTATCACTGGACCAAATTAAGCAAAGAAGCAATAGTGGTATCATATAAACATCAAAATCATTTGATTTTCATGAACGAGCCTAGAGTCCGGTCGTTTCCACTAAGGTTCTAGAGATGCATTCTCTTGACCGGACGTGTCCGGTCCACCATGATCGGACTCATAGCAGCGTCCGGTCTTCTCTGTCCCTTCACGCCTTCCCTACAGTCATCATCGTCAGCATACGTCAGCAGTGACCGGACTCACCTTCGCCGCATTCGGTCAATCAACGCCTCTAGAGTCCGGTCATCAAAACTGAGACCACACCACTAATCCACTACTGACCGGACGCGCAGGATCAACGTCCTGACCTGCATCCAGTCAGCTCCAGTGAGCTCTATGACTTCACCAACTTCTTTACCCTTGCTCAAATATGCCAACCACCAAGTATATCACCTTATGCACGTGTGTTCGCATATTTTCACCAACATTTTCAAGGGTGTTAGCACTCCACTAGATCCTAAATGCATATGTAATGAGTTAGAGCATCTAGTGGCACTTTGATAACCGTATTTTGATATGAGTTTCATCCCTCTTAATAGTATGGCTATCGATCCTAAATGTGATCACATTCACTAAGTGTCTCGATCACTTAAACCAAAAAGCTCCTATCAATTTCACCTTTGCCTTGAGCTTTTTTATTTTTTTCTTTCTTCTTTTCCAAGTCCAAACACTTGATCATCACCATGGCATCACCATCATCATGTCATGATCTTTATTTGCTTCACCACTTGGAGTAATGCTACCTATCTCTTAATCACTTTGATAAACTAGGTTAGCACTTAGGGTTTCATCAATTCACCAAAACCAAACTAGAGCTTTTAGTTGGGCGGTGCCGGCGATGGGGGCGATGATCAAAGAAGAAGAAGATGCTAAGATTAGTGAGGCAGACGTGGACACGGTGGTGCGCCGTCGGAGCCTAGGAGGGGTTGAGGCGGGGGCACTTGCTCCAGATCCAAAGCATAGGGTTGAGGCTAGCGTGGTGGTGGTGGAGGTGATGGAGGCGCACGCCGCCAGAGCCTAGGTGGGGGTCGAGGTGGGGCACTCGTGCTAGATCTGAAGCATAGGGTTGAGGTTAGCATGGCGGCGGTGGAGGGTGGCGTGCCGCCGGAGCCTAGGGAGGGGTCCAAGCGGGGGACTCCCACTAGATCTAAAGCATAGGGTTGAGGGTAGCATGGCGGTGGTGGAGGGTGGCGGCGGCGGCGCATCGCTGAAGCCGAGCGAGGTGCAGGAGGTGGTGGGGGATTGCGGGAGTGAAAGCATCTAGGCTCCTAGTTGGGTTTCGATGATTAATGACGACACGAGATTACTATGACTAACGTGTATTTTGTAGAGACAATTTGAGTTAGGTCATGGTAATGACAATTGATTGGGCAATCATGGTTGTCATGCCCCTATCAATGCAAATCGTTTCGGTTTTTAAAGGATGGACGACAAGGTTAAGGACGGACTAGTTCTAAGTGTTGTTTGGTGTTGGAGAGACACTTAGAGTAGTTTAGGACTTTGTTTTTCCTTTGGTCGTACTATTAAGGGGGGTATGGACTAGTAGCTTGATCTAGGTAAGTCTAGTAGTTTAGGTGTGGTGCACACTTGTCAAACCTAGCACTAGGTAGCTCGGGAATAGCCCTAAGATCAATTAGAGTAAATTTTATTCACATAGGATTTTGGGTTGAAAGTGAATGGAGGGTCAAATAACTGACCGGATGCTGGTCTGGTTGCGACTAGACGCTGGAGGGTGAGTCGATCAGTTCATTTAATCAACTGAAGTCATCTGGTACTGACCGGACGCTGAGTGAAAGTGCACCGGATGCTAGGTACCTACGTCCGGTCAACTCCAGAGAGGTTCCAGAGAGTCTGTTTCCTGATCAGACGCGTCCGATCGGTGACGACCGGATGCTGGTCAGAATCCAATAACTGACCGGACACTGAATAGTGAAGTGACCGCAGTCAGAACTTAACGGCTCTTTCTGACACAGTGGCGGGGATAACTGACCGGAGCGTCCGGTCACCATGACCGAAGAAGCGTCCGATCACCCCGCAGTGTTGACTCAGCCTCCAAACGTTATGTTTTGAATGAGGAGGTATAAATACTTACTCCACTCGTCCATGGGAGGTCTCTTGCCCATTTGTTTAGCTGAGAAATACCTTTGGAGTGCAAGGGAGAGCAAAAGTCTAGTGAGGTGATTGAGATTTGAGAATCTAAGATTAAGGACCTAATTAGTGCATAGAGAGTAGCAAGTGTGCATCCACCCTTCTCATTAGGCTTGTCGTGGTCAAGTGAGAGTTTGTGCTTGTTACTCTTGGTGATCGCCATCACCTAGACGGCTCGGTGGTGATTGGGAGCTTGATGATCATCCGGCGGAGCTTGTGGATGACCCAAGTCAAGTTGTGAGCGGTTGTGGGCGATTCACCACGACGTAGTGTCAAAGAATCAGCCCGTAGAGAGCACTTAATCCTTGCGCGGATCAAGGGGGAGCTACACCCTTGCGCGGGTGCTCCAACGAGGACTAGTGGGGAGTGGCGACTCTCCGATACCTCGGGAAAACATCGCCCTGTTCCTTTCCCTCTCTTTACTTTAAACATTTATATTTGAGCAATTCATTTCATGTCTTTACATTCCTAGAATTGCCATGCTAGAGTAAGATTGGAATTTATGGTGCAAAACTTTTGTGCGATAGAACAATAGAAACACATTTTAGGCACAAGGGGTGAAGTGGGCTAAGTGTAGGGCTTAATTATTGCAAAGAATTTAGAATTAGCCCAATTTATCCCCTATCTTGGGCATCTTGATCCTTTCAGGGAGAAAGAAGATGACACGTGCGGGAGGAAGGAGGTGAACAGGAGGAGTTATCCGCGTCTGCATACGCGGGCTATAGTTAATTCCATAGTATAATAGGCTGTTGGTACAGTACCATAATAAAAATTATGCCGTCAATTTAGACAAAATATAGAGACCAAGGTTTCCTATCCTGCGTGTCCTGTCACCATGTTGCCTTCATCTGTAGCAACATACAAGTATATTTCCTAGCTGGAATTAATCTCAATATCCAATAAGTAAGCTAAGTAAAAAGTAAGTGCTGGTATCAAAGGCAATACAAAGGAATATGAAGTAACATGAAAAAATGATGCCTTTAACCACATTATTAAGCAAGTGGTTCACTCGGCGCAAGCCGATTGAGATAGTTGGACTCAGTTCTTGTGAAGAAAAGACAAAGGCAAAGAGAGCTTCAACATGTTCACGCTAATTGATATAGAGGCCCAAAGTAACTCATTGGTAGTGCAATTTTGTTATCTACTATTGTCACTAGGGCAGACCTACTGATGTCATACTCAGTAGAAGACAGCGGATGCGCTTGGCAAGGTAGATAGTCGATGTTGTAACATGACAACATTGCTTATATGCTAGCTCCAGGTTTGTTAAAGAGTGAAGTAATACTCTTGTCATTCTTTTATTTACAAAGTGTCTCCGTGCCCTCCGTGTCTTATATATGATCCAAACTCACGACCTAACTCATACGAGTTATAACAACTCGTATCCAACAACGATAGGGTGTTCGACTTCATGATGTATTGGTTTAGTAGCAATGCATGGATATGTTTGCTAGTATCTTATAAAAAGCAATGTTTAGAGAGGCCTCTCAGTTTAAGCGTAGATCGAGAACCCCAACTTTGAAAACCACATTTGTATCATATATCAAGGAAAACAAAAAAAAGGAAATAAAGACGACGTAAAATTTGATGGAGCAAATCCAACAAACGCCTCTTTATCTCAGCAACCTTAATCGAACTCCAACAAACTCTAGTTAGGGTTAGAGGTTGAGGTTTGATGATGGAATTTGTAGTTGCCAAATTTGAAACGGGTAGCTGGAGGTGGCTGCCGAAACAATGGTCGTGATGATGTGTTGGCCGAACAGTTGGCACTAGCTAGCGGCGACGTCTCTTATCGAGGTGGTGGTATAGGTCGATTAGAGAGGATTGGTGGTGAAGTGTTTACCCTGCAGTTTTTGTTAGCGGTGGTGGTGGTACGTAGAGACTAGAACTAGAGAGTGGTGGATCTGGAGACAATGCTACTACTAGATCGGGAGGGGCGGTGGTATAGGCGGTAGAGCTCAGGTTCCATGACCAACAACCAAAAAAAAGAAGCACACGGTATGGTTAGACACGATTGTGGTTGCGTGGGAGAAGGGGGGGGGCGATGGGAAGACAAGGGTGACCCTTGCTAACATCGGAGGCAATATTGGCAAGAGAAGGCTAGTTGCAGGCCAAGAGAGAGGATGGAAGAAGGAAGATCTAGATTGACAACGGACCAAGTAAGACAAAGCGAAACAAACATGTTCCGATTTTTCTTTTCTTTACTTTTTTTTTGGTGAGGAAGGGGCACTCGTGTTATAGTTAAAATGACAATCTCACTCTGCTCACGCCTCCTTAATATATTTATTTATATCTAACTAGTGGACTAATTTTAGCTTGATTAGCTTGTTTGCGTGGTCTTTTAGGGCAGTTAACTAATACTTTGTATTTTCGAATATATATGACATTTAGGACAAACTATTGAACACCGTGCCATTTAAAAATGTAGGGAGTAACTATGAGCATGATGCTACATCATTGCTACCGTTGGTGGGGTTCAGCATGGTAGCTTCAGCTAAAAGTAGTTTCAGATTGTAATGGGACAGGAGGTGTGAGGTGGATTCAGATGAACAGCTCCAGGTGCATTCATCAGTCGGCGCTGATGCCACATCACTTGTATGACTGTGTCTTTTCGCGATCGGGTCATTCACCCGTACTTGTATAACCGCGTCGTCCTTTCCAAACTGTAATTGAGAGAAAGCCTTAAGCAAAAATGGAAAACCCATCGGCAGAGAACCGGAGAGCAAAAGGGTGCCTCGTTTTTATGACTGCTCAAATCAAACTTAATATTCTTATCATCAAATTTTAATCGAGTGACGGTAAAAGAAAGATAATTAGTTACTTCAACAGTTTGTTATCGTATAGAAGCATCGACAAAAAGTTCTAAAAACTCTAATATTTTTCTTGGGAACTAAGAAGTCCATTACTGGAGTAGGTTAAACTTGGAAATTAGAACAGCAATATCACCCTGAAAACCATCATGACGATAGTACGGAGCTGATATCAAAGAACTCAATGGGGCAGTTCGGCGTCTGGTAAAATACAAAGACAAAAGATTTCATTTTGGTTGAAATTCACTGCATACCTCTCTCAAATGGCATATTAAAAACACTCCAAACGAACAGGGTCAATGTGAAATTGACGGCGTCTGAAAGGTAGCAGATACAAAGACAAAAGGCGTCACTTCTATTTTGGATTTTGGTTGCTTCTGCAGACCTTTCTGTAAATGGCATCTGACGACTAACACACATCTATTCAAATACGCAGGAGTATTATTTTATCTTCAGAACCGATCAGGATCAGGTGATCTGAACAGGTGGCTGAACTTTTTTTTTGAGGTAACAACAGGTGGCTGAACTTGGCAGCCGCACAACTGGAGCACTCCAACCAAGTGAATGACAATTCAAATTGGCCTTTTAGTCGTGCTGCCCACTGAAGTAAAATATATATATTTTCGGAGCACCTGCCAGAAGAGACTCGTTAAACGGAATCAGATATTTCAACCACTGCTAGGTAAAACTAATATAATCAGAACATCCACTGGTGATTTTCCAATTCGATTTTCGCTCGCCCTGGCTGGCTGGCTGCAACCACTCTGGTTCATTGTGCCAATTTTCATAAACCCAGCCTAGCATGCATTTTATTCAATTCACACAAGGCCATTCAGGTACGGGTATGCTATTCAATCCAAGAGATGCATTCTCATCAAAGGTCCGAACAATGAATTTCACATGACGAAGGTGTATACATGCAAATCGGATGAATATGGACAATTATATGACTCGAGAAATATTATTAATGCCAATGCTGGTGCCGTTTTCTTTTTGGAAAGGTATGCTGCTGCCGTCCTTACAGATCTGCACACCACTTCGCAGATAGACTTGGGCTACCACCATGCATGCACCTCGGACACCCGATGCCCAGTGATCATTCATCAGATCCGAGAAGGAAACAAGCAGTACAGCATCTTAATCATTGGCCTTAACGGTGTAGTCTTGTGGCTAGACAAGCTGGCATCCTCTAAGAAACTCTGGAGCATCATTACCATTCAAATCGGCTACTGTTACCCGTACCACGTCCCGTGCTGGAGATGCTGTTGCGGAATCGCTTGTGGGAGCAGGAAGGTCCGCGTTCTTCTTGCTGAATTCTTGAACCGCCTGCGAGAATCAAAGCCACCTAGAAAACATGACGGTTTTCATTGAGCAATTATTCAAACTGTCTTCAACTCTTCTTCCACATCAAGAAATGAACTGCAAGGCTATCAGGACCATCCAGAAACATTCAGAATCCACTAGCAACAAGCCGACAACTCAGCGTTACTTTTGCTCTAATTAAATGGGATATATCTAGGTCCATTAAGTGTCAATTTGGTCCCAGCTACATAAATTGGTTCATCATCAATCACCAGAAAAGAGTAGCTGAATGTCACAATACAAACACCTAATGCATTGCTCTGCAAATACAAATGCCATGTTTACATGATCTTTGAAGCACAAGTAGAGCGTTTTGTTTCCACTAAAAAAATTAGATATAGGTGCTCTGGAAATATTTGGTGCAAACTGGATTATTTCCTTAATGAGAAAGGGAAAGGTTGCTAAAATGTAACATATACTTTCCTAGTTAGCTATACCGTTAGGATCAATTGGTCAAAACCATAACATCTATCAGCGTAAACAAATTATTTAAAGGAGGCTAATTCTTCCAACTTCCCAAATTCATGAAAATCACAGGAGGTGACAGGATGAAAAATCAGAAATTCCAATGCGAGTCACGGTGTTTTAAGATGGAAGAAATGACTCAGGGTGTTTTCAGTACCTTCCATTGCGAATGTGTCAACAGCACTCGAGCCCTTTTCGATCGTACATGCTCGAAAGCTGCTGCAGGTGTCATATTCTTGTATTTGACCTGGTGAAAATTAAGAACCACAACAATAACATGGATTACCCTAGACACAAGTTGAAACCGATTCCAAGCAGGTAGTATGCTATAATTTTTTTCTCATTATGAACTGAAGTTCTCAGCTCAGATTTTCACAAGTTACAGTTCTTACTAAGAGAGAGATAATTAAATTTACCAGATAGCACAAGACGATTGTTGTACTCCGGCCCCTTCCAGCTTTGCAGTGAATATATGTTATTTTCCCACAAGATGCATTTCCTAATCGATAAGTGCTGAAATGTCATTGAAAATCTTCATATTAAAATAGAAGGAAAGTTGCTGAGGAAAAGGAAGCGGCATCGCAGTTGACCAACAACTATCAGTGACTTTAGGATGGTCAACTAATAAACAATTATGTGAGGCTCACTTACTATGAATGAAATCAATAGCTTGATTAATTATCCACAAGTGAAGGAGCAAACATATAATCTCTTGTAGGAATAACAAGGTGATCAATCCCACGTGACTGTAAATTTCAGCAGAGGAGCATTTATGTCACAGGGTATTTCTGATGAAAATAGATTGGGTCAGCAGTTCTGTTCCCAGTGGCATATGCAAGGTTTAATGAAACTTTGAAGGATTAAGGATCTGCAAAACGACATAAACCTTTTAGCATGAAAAGGGAAAATAACTTACAAGCCACTTGCCTTATACATAGATGATGGTACCAAAGTCTCAAATGGTTCATTTAGGGTTATCACACCATGTACCCCAAGCTTCTGCAAGCGTGTTACATCTCTGCGGAATGGAACTGCTCCAAGCAAAACGAACTGGCACAAAGGTCAATAATTGCATTTGTATCATTAGCTAAATGGTAGCTATGAGTAGTTAAACAGAAATATCAAATATCTGATATCTCCTCAATCACGAGGGCAACAGTATAACTACATAACACTAGCATCATGTAAACACTAAGCCCAGGCAAGCCACAACAAAACCCAGGCTACAAAGCTAACTTCATGCATATAGCAACTATAGCATTGCTTGCAGTGAACAATAACAAAGCCAGCAGTATTTGGAAAGCCTATCATGCTGCATTTCATCCACGATGGGCTGTTCTTCACAGGTTACTCAATTTATGTCTTAGCACTAAAATTGTTAAACCTACTCCTAATGAAACGCATGTAAGAAGCTCCTAATTCTAACAGGGATGACCAGACGAGAGACTAACTTATTCTCGATAGATGTTCTAGTACTGAAACAAAGTGTTACCGCATCTGCATCTAAAATGTGGTATTATAGGTGATGAAGTACTCATGTTCATCCTTCAAGTTCTACCTCTTAATCACATGGCTAGTCTCAGCAAAGGTACAGCAGACTGTACATCTACAGCAACAATCGCTTCATTTCAACGTGGTCCAGAGCACAACGATCCACCTCTAGAATCAGATCCCCAGAGGCCTAAGCAACAGAGGCAGCTCTAGTTTACTAGTGACCCTACCATTCTCAACTCAAAACTTCAACCTAATCTAAAGTTGGCCATGCAGCCCGCGGCCCGCCGGCCTGGCCCGTGGCCCGGCGTTTTGGCACGGCACGGCCCTGTGGCCATCGGGCCTGGGCCGGCACGGCCCGAGGCACCAGGCCGTGCCTAGGCCGCCACCCCGGCCCGTGGCACGGCACGGGCACGGCCCGGTGCAAAGAGGCGGCCCGGTGGCGGCCCGGTGCTCCAACGGCTTCATTTGGCCCAGGAGGCAGCCCACGAAGCCAGCCCACCCCGCCGCATATATAAGCTGCTGCCCGCTGCCTCCCTCTCCATCCCTAACCCTAAGTCCCTAATCCCCATTCTTCCCCCGCCGCGCCGTCTGCTCTCGCTCGCTGCCTCGCTCTCGCTCTCGCATTCGCGATCCACCGCCGCCGCCGCTCTCCATCGACCATCGTCGTCCGTCCTCCCTGGCACCGGTGACCTCGCCGGCGCTCCTCCACCTCGCACTGAGTTCGCTAACCCCGTCTCCTCCCTCCTTTTCCTCTCTTGTTTCCTCTCGCTCTCGCTCGGAATCGGTGAACCATGTGAGTTCGTGTTCATGTCACTCCCTCCTCCCCCACCTCGCCGTCGATTCTAATTGGTGTCCATCTCATCCTCTGGCTGGCTCGCTGGCTTCTTCATCTCCGGCACCGGGCTCCGGGCTCCGGGAAAGCAGGTTCGTCACTTTCCCTAACCCTAGATCTGCTCTTCTCTGCTTTGTCTCTCTCTGATCTCTGTCTCCCAAGTGTCATCTCTCACTCTTCTTCTTTGCGTGCAGGTTGGTGCCTGACGCCGCGTCTTCCTCCTCTAGAGTAGACATGGCCAGGCCGCCAAAGCGCCCGTTGAGGGACGGTGCTGGAGCTGCTGGAGGTCGAGGTTGTGGACGGCTGTCCGGCTCGTCCGCGGGCGGTTGCGGTTCCGGCCTCGCAACGCGGGGGGAGGATCAGCATCCCCTCGGCGACAGCGAGGACCAGGCGCCGCACCCGGACGACGAGCTGGAAGTCGAGGACGACGACGACCTATGTGATGATGCAGCCGGTCTGTTCGGCATCGACCTCGGTGACGGCAACCAGCCCATCGATCTCGATGGCGACGACGGTGATGGTGGAGTTGAGGTCTCCACTGACACTGATGGTACCTCAACCACCTCTGGTAAGAAAGTTTCTGTTGTTTGGGATTACTTCCATGAGATTAAGGAGAATAAAATTCGAGTTGCTGCCATCTGTAAACATTGTTGGGCATGATACACTGCTAGATCGTCTGCTGGCACTGGCCATTTGAGACGGCACATGTATTCCTGTATGAGAAAACGTAATCATGCTAGTATGGTCCAGTCTAAGCTTGCTCTGAATCCTGATGGTTTGAAAAATTGGGTGTATGATCCTATGCTTGCTCGCACTGAGTTGTGCCGTTTGATTGCTAGGCTGGACCTTCCTTTAGGGATAGGTGAGACACACGCTTGGGAGGATTACATTAAGCGTGCTCATAATCCTATGTTCGAGAAGGTTTCTAGGCAGACCACCACTAGAGATATGTGTAAACTTTTTGATGAACAACGTGCTATGCTTATGAAATCTGTATTGCCTGCTGCATCTTCTGTTTCTTTGACATCTGATATTTGGTCTGGTAATGCTAAGGAGGATTATATTTCTGTTGTTACTCATTATGTTAGTGTAGATTGGGAGTTACAGAAAAAAGTTGTTGGTCTTAGGCTGATTGATGTTTCACATTCTGGTGAAAACATTGCTGATAGGATTTCTAGTGTGGTTGAGGAGTTTGGTTTGATTGACAAGGTTTTTTCTGTGTCTCTAGACAATGCTTCTGCTAATTCTAGGGCTTATGAGATTTTGCAACCTATGTTCTTTGGTTATTTAGGTTCTTATCCTGCACCTACAAGAGATGATCCTAACAAGGTGCAGTACTTGCTTGTGCATCAGCGCTGTGCATGCCATATCATTAATCTGATTGTTAAATCTAGCATGAAGAGGTTGAAACCTTATACTGAAGATTTCAGAACTGCAATAAGTTTTTTAAATTCCTCTAATCAAAGAATTGTATTGTTTAAGAACTACTGCACTGCTCAGGGTCTTAGACCTAGAAAGTTTGGCTTGGATATGGATGTTAGATGGAATTCTACTTATTTGATGCTCAAACACTTGCTGCCATACAAGGAAGTCTTTCATGTGTTCATTACCTCTAATTATGGTTCTACTTTGTTGACTGCACAGTATTGGTATGTTGCTGAACAAATAATGATATTCCTAGAACTCTTCTATAATTCCACTGTTGTCCTGTCTGGTGTTTATTATCCCACAGCTCCACTTGTTTTGCACCATATGCTTGACATGGCTGAACATTTGCAAAATGTTGAAAGAGATGCTAATTTTAGAATGATTGCTACTCCTATGAAGCTTAAATTCCTTAAATATTGGGAGAAAATTCCACTGATTTATTCATATGCATTCATTCTTGATCCTAGAGCTAAGATGAAAGAGTTCTTTAATGTGCTTGAATTGCTTGGTAAGGCAACTAGATGCATTTATAGTGTATACTATGGTGATGTGAAAGATGAATTGTATAGATTGTTTGCCAAGTATGAACAGAAATTTGGTGCAGTTAGGTCTCAGAGGGTTTCAGTGCCTTCAGCTCATACTGGTAAGACAAAACAGGCATGGGGAAGGATCTTTGGAGGTCCTGGTGAATCCCCTATCGGTTCCCCCTCATCTTCATCTACTCCATCTGCTGTCAGTGAGCTCAAAGCTTATTTGGACAGTGACCCTATCACATGTTATAAGGAATCCTTTGACATACTCCTCTGGTGACGTGACCACAAGCTAACCTATCCAATCCTATCTATTATGGCTCGAGATATCATATCTGTCCCTGTATCTACTGCCTCTTACGAGTCTTGTTTCAGCTGTACATCCAGGATACTCGAAGACCGGCGGCGGCGCTTGTTGCCTGAGCATGTGGAGATGCTCACCTGCATCAAGGACTGGGAGCAAGGTGCAAGAATGGAACAACATACACCTGAGGACCTAGACCTGGAGGAGGCATTCAAGAACCTCTTCCTCGATGAACAAGGCGAAGGCAGCGGCAGCGGCACCGGCAGCGGCGGTACTGCTGGTAGTGGATAGAAGAAGAAGAAGAAGAGAAGAGGAGAGGTAGTCACTCACTCAACTGAAACTTCCATATTGCTTCTTTACATTCAAGTTCACTAACATTGCTTGCTTCTGTACAATTTTACAGGTACTTTTGGTGTGACAGAGTGAGACAGTGAGTCACTATGAATGTTGCCACTGATGTTGGCGGTTGGCTATTGTAATAGGATAGAACTTTTGCTGCTGTGAACTCACTAAGTCACATTGTCACAATGACTTTGCCACTGATGTTGGCTATTGTAGGATAGAAGAACTAAGACTTTGCCACTTTAGAGCTGGTTGTACTCTTTTTTCTTTCTAGGGTTTCTCACAAGGGTGAGTTTTACCTAGAAAGGTTTCTAATGAGGCAGCATTGCACAAAACAGCTCATATTCATATAATGATATAATCTTGTCTTTTGTCCCTTGTCCTTGTGTTCTGAGTTGTGAGTTTGAGACTTGTGTCTTGTGAGTTTGAATTGTGATTGTGAAATGTGAATCCTGTGGTTTAGAATTCTGAAAATATGAGTTTTGAATCTGATGTGAATCTGGTGGTTTTGAATCTCTGAGTTGTGAATCTGGTGGTAAAATCATGTTGAAAATGATCAAGTCCTTAAAGACTTAGTTATTTTTGTAGCCGGGCTATGGGCCGGCATGGCCCGGTGAAAATGGTCGTGCCCAACGGGCGGCACGGCACGGCCAAATGGCCCACGGGCCGTGCCTTGGGCCGGAGGCCAGGCACGAGCACGCCATAGGCACAGCCCGGTGGCCCGGTGAGGCACGCCGCCGCGTCGGGACGGCACGCCCCGATGGCCATCTATAACCTAATCTCTCACTCAGGAGGGTATTCGAGAGGAGCACGGGGGCGGGGGCAGGGGTGGGGGCGGGGAGACAACCAGTAATGAACCTGATCGACCTCGTCCCACCATTGAAACTCGGCCTGGACCTTGCTCCGCACCACGTTGTACAACAGCGTCGGGTAGAAGAGAACCCTCGCGGCGGCGCCCACCGCCGCCTCCTTCGCCTTCCTCCGCGCCGCCGCCCCGCGCCGGCTGCCCGCCTCCGCAGCCATGGCAATGGCTTCCGACGGGGACAAGTTTTGGATGAAATTGCAAGAGCAGGATGAGAGATGGCGGCAGGTTTGGGGGGGATCAAGAGTAAATTTGGCGCGATTTAGCGTTTAATTGGGAGGTTGTGTGAGAAGTGGGGAATTGCCTGGATTTTTTCTTTTTGAAACATTTTTTTCTGACACAAAGGGTGTTGCCGGACTGGGTGATCAAGCCAGTTGGCGAGTGGAATGATTGGGATTTGGGAACAGCGTGAAAACAGAAAACGAATCGTTTTTGAGGTTTTTACTAATGTGCCGTTATAAAAGTTGTTAATTATCTATAAGTCATTAAAAAAGTTGAGTTCTCACAGATACCACTGCTCTGAACTCTTTTACCCTCTACGTCACTTCTGTTAGATTTGGCTCTAACGACGTCAAAATACAGGTTTGAAAAGTCAAAAATACACTCAGGTCTAAATATGCAATTAATTTTTTTAGCATCTTAATGATCTCAAATGAAAAAACGCAAAACTACAAAGTTGTAGATCTCATCGAGATCTACAATATTTTTATAAAAAAATATCTTCATTTGATTCCGTACCAAAAAATGTGATTTTCTAAGACATTAATAATATCAAATCATATTTTTTTACAAAATTAAATGAAGATAATTTTTATACAAAATTGTAGATATTGTCGAGATCTACAACTTTCTCGTTTTGAGTTTTTTCATTTGAGATCATTAAGATGCAAAAAAAAATTGCATATTCAGACCCGAGGGTATTTTGGACTTTTCACAACCACAGTTTAACACCGTTAGAGTCAAATATGACGGAAGTGACGTGTAGGACAAAAGAGTTCACAACAGTGACACCTGTGAGAAACTCAACTTTTTTAATGGTTTATAGATAATTACTAACTTTTATAATGACACACAGGTAAAAGCATCATCGTTTTATTATTAGAGCAAGTATAATAAGGGGCTATAAGTAGACTGAATGTTGACGTGGAGAAGAGAGGAAATGAGAGAGAAAAGAAGCGGGCTATAAGCTTATAGCCAGCTTATGCATACGAACCAAGAAATTTTGTAGGACAGACAAATGGATTGATAGGTTGGCTATAAGTTTTTATATAGCCAACAGCTGGCTATATTATTAGCGTTGCCCTTATACATAATACACATTTTCGCACCCTCGTCCAGTTCTACTTCTAGCAGTGGAACGACGGCGCATGAACAGAATTTTACACGATTCAATTCAATTTATAGAAAAAATATAGGAACATAATTTTTTTTCACATTCCAAATAAAAAAATCACATACATTACTTGATTATATATCAGAAGATAATTTAACTAGCGAATTGATCATAGATCAGTTGATCAGGTTTCTTATGGTGGAACCTACTCATCCGAGTTCAAGTCATCGACTTGGCACGAGTGCTCCTATTTTCCTAGATTTATTATTTCAGGACTTAACGGCTCTATGCTTTCAGTGGTAAGCGACGTCCCCGTCGACAGTGAGGCGCCTGTGCTGACGAGATCTGCTGGCTCAGTCCTTTGGAGATGTTCATAGGGATAGCATTTGCATATGTGTGTTCATAGGGATGAGTGTATATGCGTGTTGTGGATGTCTATATTGTACTGTGTGATTCTAAAACAAAAGATAATTCAGCTAGATTTGTCCTAAATATTTTTTTATAACTATGACCATGTCTAAAATTTTATAGAGAATGAGAACACAGCATATCCACATTAGTCTCTCTTTTTTATAACTTTGACCTTCAATGTCTAAAATTTTATAGAGAATGAGAACACAACATATCGACATTACAAGATCCATTGTGAAAACTACTTCCTTAAAATGTAGAGTAACAATTTTTCCTAAAAAAGATGAAACTATTTTCATTTTAAAAAATTGCTAGTTAAAGTTAAGAAAAATGACTTACAGTTGTGATAAAAGGGAGTAGTATATTAGAGTGTATTTATTATAATATGTATTATACAAGGATTATCATAATTAGGACTATAGATTTCAATAATTACAGTGTTTAGATCTCTAGATTATTGTGGTATACTTGGTAGCGTGCACGTGCGTTGCTACGGGATAGCTAATAATTTATACTAAAAACACACGGATCGCACGATAAGATAACAATACTATAAAAATTAAATATTAATATTAAAGTGGCAGTTAATCTAAAAAGCAAAGTTTATGAAATTAACAGTCACGGAGAGCGCGGCGTCATAGGCTTACAAACTCTACTTTATAGACCTTTCCGTGATGTGACTAAGATAATGTTTTATATCGACAGGAAGAAATCTCCGATATCTATTTCTTTCGTGCGCCAATAAATCCACAAATAAGTTCCGCCGTATCTCCGTACCATCCTGTACACATGCTCGAGTATATATGCTATCACATGAGTAATACTGCGTGTTTTAAAAAATCTCTCAACTTTAAAACAAAGTATGTTATACTCACCGTATAAACCTTTTTCAACAATTACATTGCAACTCCACTAATTACAATACAACAACACATATGACGAGAAATATACATTGTATGACCTCTAAAATTCTTTTTGATAAAACTGACCAGAAGTTCCTTGAAAGACTAAAATGATGGCAGACACCCTACATGAGCCCCCGACAATCTGTTGCGCAGCAGCTTCCCCGCCCCTCGCCGAACCGCCTCTGACGCCGACAGCTCCAGGTGGCCGCCCATGGGCCACCCCACGTCTGCACTCACAAACAAACGCAAACCCACACACCCACTCGGTACCTAAATGTGTGGTTCTTTGACAGATACGGAGTATGTAGTTGTATCACAAGCAAAGATATGAGTACGGATTCTGAGTAAAATGACTCTAGATTGCAAAAGAACAGGTTAAACTCAAGTAGCTGGCGTAGTAATGACATAAATGTTGGTAAAACTGATGCTTGGATAGATAAATGACCATAGAGTGGAAGCAGTATATACTAACTTCAATGCTGCTGTTGGCCTTATAATAGGTATGCTGGATTTTGAAAGAAAAAAACTGAAAAGAGACTTCTGAATGAAACATGAACTATACCAGACAGCCCATTACTGTAGTATGGACATTATAACATTGCCCACGTATTAAATCAAATATTTAGCTATACCAGTGGGGATTTGTCACATTGCACATTTCATTCATACACAGAATTGAAATTGTGTAGCACACCGAAGCACAAAAAAAAAGATGTAAGATTTCTCTATTTCTCAAAATATCTAGCATGGGAAGAAATGTTATCCATCTAGAAAAAACATGCGAAGATAATAACCTCAACGGTCAACGCCTGATCAAATACAGGATATTAGTGAGGGTATACATGACAAAACAGTCAGGAGAAGAAATATATTGTAGGAAGTACAATACATTTACTAAAGAACAGCTTACAAGAAACAGGAATGTTTATTCAGGAAGAACGTACCAAAATATTAAAAAAAACAGCTAACCTGGATCTCTTTTGGGAACGTTGCACTAAACAGCATTGTCCGCTTGACACCTGGAAGTGGCATGTCCATTTGCTCAACAGTTCTTCTAACTGTGGTTCAAAACCCATATCAAGCATTCTATCTGCCTTAACAAGGGCAAGGTAACAAATTACCTGCAAGGATATTCTTGTCGTTTCCATCAAATCAGCTAATCGGTCGGGGGTAGCCACAAGAATGCCAACACCCCTCTCGAGATCTCTTAACTACAAATTAGAATATATATTTAGAAAATGATACGAATTTAAGAAAATAAGTAATGGTCCAAGGTTTAGGCATTCAATTCTTTGAAAGAAAAAGTTCAGGCATTCGATTCTTTGAAAGAAAAGGTTCAGCTATTCCAAAACAGATGTGTGGAAAAATATATTATTCTAATATTATGATTCCCTTCATCTGCAATGTCCCCACCTCTTCCTCGCGTTTCTCCTCGCCTTAGCACCGCCCCCTGGCCCGATCTTGCTCCATCCCCTTCCGGCAGGCTCCTCCGCCACCTCGCAACTCACCGCATAAGAACAGAAGATGAGTCAATGTGATTACTACAACTGATATCAAAGATCAGTGAATGAGGAGCTTCCAAATGATAACTATATATTCTTGCAAAATAATGTATCCAAACCTTGCTAGGAACTTAGTAGTGCTTGATTAAAGCTTGCTGTGCAACCTGGGTGAGTTAGGAAAAACCTGCAGACAAGGCAAAAGTCATGTGATCTGTAAACCGCACTAGCACTCACATGTAGGGGAAATAAGATATTCTAGAAAATAATGTATCCAGACCTTGTTAGGAACTTAGTACTGCTTGCTTAAAGCTTTTGTGCAACCTCGGTGAATTAGAAAAAAAAATCTGTAGACAATGCAAAATCCTTGAGATCTGGAACCGAATAGCACCAAGTAGGCAAAAGTATTAAAAAATATAAACTTTACACATTATTTAAATAATAAATATGTCCACGATTTAATTGGCAGTGATCGAAAGTTGCCACAGAGCCATTTGCTAAGTACTGTAGCATATAAAGTGCAGACCGCACGACAGGTAAAACAAATTAGGAACACCACACGAACAGGTAAAAATTAGGAACACCATGAAGGTCCTTTGTTGCGTTGTTGTACCGATCTACAGTCATACATATGTCAAAACTGAACATTCAGAATGAAAAGGAGATATACATTAAAAAAAAGAGTAAAATACATCGAAGGTCCATTAACTTTCGTTGAGGTGTCATCTAGGTCCATCAACTTTGAAACTACATTTTTTGATCCATGAACTTTTAAAATGGTTCTAATCTATTCAAATATGTAAATTAGTAGGTGGACTAAACTTTAGTCTAGCGCCGAACTAACAACTAGTCCTTCGTCAGTTGGTAAATAATCCACCTAAATATTTTTACGTCATGACAACTGAACACGTCGATCCTGCGTAGCGAGGTCCGGCAGCATCAGCAGCCAGGGTCGCAGCCAGCGAGTGCGCGTCGTGACGTTGTGCACCAGCAGGCCGAGCTCGCGCGCGCCG